CTGCGCCGGCAATGTTCACACAAAAAAAAAAAAAAAAAAAAAAAAGAAAAATGTTTCCTTTCGTCCTCTCCAGTGTTGAAAGTTCATCTCAAGTCCTGCCGAAGCAAATATGTGAACAAATCTTCCACAATTTGGGGGCAATGGACTGCAAAACTACGACACGCCTATTTCAGTAGACTGGTGCTCGTGTGTTTGGCATAAAAACGGCACAACCTCATTTTGGTGCCGGGGCAAGTCTAGTCTGGCGCATTTGGGCAGGCGATGCGTCTCCGTTTTCATGTCGGTGCAATTCTAGTTTGAAGTCTTTGGTTGATGCGCAAATGCCTCACTGTGACAGGGCTGCTGCACTCGCCGGTGCATCTCGCAATTTGGTGACTAAATGTTAGACGAGCTCTAAGGAGGTCCATCGTAAAAAAAAAAAAAAAAAAAAAAGTGCCAAAGATATCATGCGAGTGACTCGCTTGTGGCGACCTCAGTTTTGATGAGCCGAATGTCACTTTCTTTATTGTCCTGTATATGTGGCCAAGGTAGCCGTGAACAGCGCTGACAGATTAATAGGGGCCCCATTTTATGGCATCGTCAATGAAATGTGGGACCGAGGCCCTTTTAGAAAATGAGACGCTCACTTTGCAGTAAGGTATAAACAAAGTCATCACCGGCACAACTTTGGCAAGTATTCGCAGCAATGATTTTTTCTTTTTTCTTTTCATAATCATGGCAGAGGACCGACCATAGTCAATTTTATCGCACACTATTAGCAATGATGAACAGATGAAATGAGATGCAAAAAAATGCCGTATTTCCCATTTTGTTGCAAAGATGTGACCAGTGTGTGTGATTGTGTGTTTCGCAAGAGTACGTGCAGAGGTGGTGGACCGCTGCAGAGCGAGTGCGCTGCGTCCATCTGCTCCTTGTGAATGTCAATGTATTCCAGCACAGCCCAAGGGAGCTGGCAGGGTAATGCTGTTCACGCTTAATTGGGTGACAAATCCAACAAACATGATTGTAAACACCCTGAAAGGGATACCTTGACATTTTGATTGCAGTCAGTTCTGTCTTTCGTTGTTGTCGACAATCGTTGTGTTGTTGCTGCAGGGCGGGCGCGAAGTGTAACACCAAACTCGTGGTTTCTGCTAAGCATGATTAAAACTAATCACTTTTCGGGGGCCAGAGCTGGGGGCAAATTTTAAGAGCGCTTGCTGAAGCTGCTCCGTGCCGCAGTTTTCAGATAAAATCTTGGATAGGGAACCTTGGAGGTCCGATTCACTGAGCGTTCTTTCATTTCATTACAATATGGCTACATTCCAAATGACAAAAAATATACGGCTCAAATTAACTCAAAATAGTGAGAACTAAAAGGACCTCAATGATTCTCTGAACACCCACGATGGCCTCGCCCGTTTCAAATTTTAGCCTCGCCATGAAGTGGACGCATTGAGCTCTCAAGCACTGTGTGTTGGTGTTTGTGGGCGCGTGCACGCATGTGTGTCGCGTACCCGCTTCATAGGTGGTGGCGTGCGCCGTCATACTCCAGGTACTGGATTTCCAACCTTTGGTCACCATCACGGCAAACTCGTACATCGTGTTTGGTTTGAGGCCAGTGACGGTATGGCTGAGGGCGGTGGTGTCTGCAGACTGGACACGGGCAAGGCAACCAACATCCTTGAGCAATGGCATTCTTACAACACAGCAAAAGGAAGGCGACGGCACCTAAATTGCTCCCGTCCGTCTAATGGTTTTCATTGCTCCCAAAAATATTCGGACCGGTCAAAAAAATATTTAAAAAAAAATCCAGAAAATAACAAAGCCGTGAAAGATGAACCGCGTCATTGCGAAGGATTACTGTATTGCGATTGCACAAAACACAATTTACAGAAGGGGCACATAGCGTAGCGGCACCGATGCCGCCCGTTTCGTGGCGCTGCTTGCACATGTACTGGTGTGCAAGCAAGTGACGAGGATACAAACGCTTTGTTTGGCGGAGGGAGCCCACGAGGCGCTATCCGCATGACAAATGTTTGCCATGCATTGCTCATCAATTACAGAATGCGGGCAAACTATAAACAAAGCATATGGACAACGAAGCTGCCTTTGTGGCACGCGGGAGCCCGCAGCTAGCGTGAAGAACGCCAATTCGGCTCGACAACGATCAGTCCCTTGGCAGAAAAATGTGAAATATGGAGGAGAATGTTCCATAGATCACATGAGGAGTTTTCTGTTCTGCCAAGTCTAGTGCCATTACACGTCTGTTTTCATCACTCCAATGCAAGACTGTAAAACAATATATATATTACAAGGGAGAATTCCCGCATTTTAAGCGTCTGCGTTTACCTTGTACTTGCCGCTGGTGGAGTAGCTGGTCTTCCACTTGACGGAGTAGTAGCGGACCTCGGAGGACTTCTGGTTCTTGGTCATGGAATTGTCAGCCCAGGAAACACGAACCGAGTCCGAGGAAAGAGCCACGGCTTGGACCCCAACGGGGGGGATCATGGGTGTGCTGGTGTCTGGCATGGGAGTGGGGTATTTATCAAAGAGATGGAAAAGGTCATCCTCAGATGGGTCAAGGGGGTCTGATGCAGGGTCGAGTGGAGCACATTGACGACATATGCGGTGCAATTAATGTGGGACGATGAGAAGACGGGCAGATATTCATGTGTGGTGTTGGTCGAGCACGTACGGGAAGGAAATGCATGATTATTTGGGCGTGACATGCAGTAGGTAGGGATGTTAGTTCAAGGTGTCGGGGAATAAAAAGGGATGAAAGATGTGGATGAATGAGAGGGAGAGAGAGAGAAAACAATATTGGAGAGAGTAAGACATCAAGAAGCACGTTGGAGAGAATAATTGCCACCATCAGCAAGAACTGAAGACCTTCCCAAGACACCTTCAAAAGATAACGGACTAATCAGAAACTGGAGTGCTGGTTTATCCCCCCCCCACGCCCACACAAAAAAAAACAACACTGTGGTGGCAAACAACGGCGGCACCACATTATCGGAAAACTTCTGATTAGGCTTTTCTTTTCTTTGACAAACTTTGAAAGGGAGCCTTTTGAAAAGAAAGTTGAAAGCCGAACACTTTTTCACGAGGTGATTATATCTTAGTCATGAACGCCCAAAAGTTTTGAGTGCACGATATTGTTGACAAGCTACACTGGGAATTCTGGGTCAAGCCCCATCTGCGCCAATGACACCCATCTGTTTGGATGCGTGTCTTCGGAGCTCCTCTCAGCTGCGACGAGGCCTCGCATCGGCGGCGCTTGCTCATAACGAAAGGTCCGTGCAACAGCATGCTGGTATTTGGAAGTGAAAGCTTTCTGACGTTACGCTCTCGGACAGAATATTTTTTCATTCGAGGTGAAGACGAGGGAGGGTTCATTCTGCGGTCAGCGCCCCCGTCGCATACACAATGAATGAGGCCGAGGCCGGCACGCCGCGCGCCCCGCTAGCCGCTCTCGTGCGTCAACGACGATGGCACGAAGAATTTCCGTCAAGACAGAGCATGCGAATGAAGAGTATACAGGATGCCCGATTGGACTGGCAAAAGGACGAGACCACCCAAGTGATTCAGTGAATTTGAAACACAAAAATCCCCATGCCTGGTCACTTACTCGGTCCAAGGGAAAAAAACAAGCATAAGTAAAGGTCATCATAAATAATGAAATGTAATGTTAGGGACGATGGCGCTGGGGTGGGTGGCCTCTAATGATGTTTTATTTTTGGTCTCCACATCCTCCTACCATCAAGCCAAGTGTAACTCCCAGGTGGAGCTGCTGATGTGATTGGGAGAGCGATTTCAGTTTCAGGCAGCTTTATGAATAGAGAAGTACGAGATTGATAAAAATCGGCGAAGCATTTTATGTTTCACGCAGCCCTGCGCTTCTTCGTTCAGAGACAGGGAAAGAAGAAAATAAACTGCAGGTTCTGTGAAGTCGAAGAGAAGAACATGAAAAGCAGTAAGATTCCCGTGTCACCATAATAAGTGGTCACTTGTTGTCAATCAAAAGTTGTGATTGGACTTTACTATTGACATTGTACACTTGCACGATTCTTGGAATGTTAAAATGTGAGAGAGAAAAAAAAAATGCCTTTAATATGAAGAACGTGTATTTGACCTCCGTGGTTGCGCTGTGCATTTGTCATCATGTCACTGAAGTTGCTGTGATCTTGTAATTTCTTCTGCCACAAAAACGTCGGTTAGTTTCAGATTTATAGGTTAGAGTCAGATGGGGTTTTTTTTTTTTTAACAGCGAAAATTATTTGAATCACACGCCAGAGAAAGAATGATTCGAAATGTCCTACCTGTCAGAGAGCGAGTGACAGCACTCTCATACAGAGGAACTCCTTCTCCAGCGTTATTGAAGGCCTTCAGGGAAATCACATAGTGTGAGCTCGGCTCTGTCAGACAGAAACAGCCACAGAGAGCTCTTAGGTGACATCGGCTCATTATGCACTGTTGGACAACACGTATATTATGCTACGTGAACACCAAATCCATTGCGAGCATTTCTGCAGTCAACGCAGTTTGCGCGGATGCGCGCGGGCCGTGGCGGATGACGCGTTTGCAGTGGCGGGAAGCGTGCACGTGCACCAAAAATCCACTCATATCGTCTATTGGCCAAGGTTAAATAAATTGGGTTTTTTTTTTTAAGGGCTTCGCCACGCAGCAGCCAATCAGGCTTCAGACTCTGCTGTATATATTTTTTAATGCACTTAATGTACACGCTTAACCACATTTACTTTGAAATGTGACATTTTTGGATCGATACAGCAGCAGCGTTGGCTTCTCCCTTTGCTCAATCCACCTGAGAGATAGCAGCAGAAGCAAGTTGCAATGGGACGAAGCGATTGCCACGCGGTGCCTTCCTTTGGAGCCCCGCTCATGAAGCAATGATGCTGCATGTTCTCTGTTAAGCGTCCAACACTTGCATCAGTTCAACAAACACCCTCCCCGCTCCCCGACCGCTTCACCGCGTGCATGAATGATCACCATGAATTATAAATGCCATGTACATACTGTATGCAGACTCCATCCGCCCCGCGCATGCGATACGACTCTTTCATTACTGTTCCATTAGAGACCCGAGATGGGAATTTGCATCTGCGTAAAAGCAGTCGCACAATTTGTTAACGTCTTTTTGGCATGCAAATTGCTCGCTGCGTGCGGAGGAAGACATTATTTCCACCTCAAGCAGCTCTCTTATTAAATTCCTCTAAATTATTGATTAGAATTAAATACCTATTTCATCATCACAATTCATTTACAACTCACAGGGCCGCTACGTCAATATTGGCACTCCTTGGCACGAGCGGGTTGATTTATGGAACGCGGAAACATATTGTTGATGCAATATTTGCTGTTAATAAGTAGGCTGCTGTCGCTGATGTGTGCAATCATTGAATAAATCGATGCTTTCTTTATGCCACAATAGAAAACGAGAAAAGGATTTTGACTGCAAAGGTAAAAAAATGAAAAAAACAAAACAACAACATCCTGATAAACTAATTGTAATGAAATCATATCCACATGCATTCAACATCGCACCGTCTCTGAGAGTCTCCGTGTACTTTTCGATGGCGGCCCTGCATTACATTGCACACGCACACAGATAAATGGCAAGCGAAGATGTCACTTAGACCCCCAAAGAAGAAGTAAAAAAAAAAAAAATCCCAGGTAATCAAAGTGAAATGCTTCAACAGGTTAAGTCTTCTGGAACCTGTCAGGAAAATGCTGCCAAAAAACGGTGCAAGTATGAACAAACGACTACCACCTATGTATTTATTTATTTATTTTTAATTATGTATACCGTTTAGAAATCCTTTCACTAATGCACTCAACGTTGCATTTTATTGATCTCAGTCTTTTTCATCACGGCATCAGTGGTGGTTCTTGAGTCACGGAGGCTTTTAGCGAACCTTTAGCTAACAAAAGCGAGCAAGCCCGCAAGAGTAATAAACGTTATTTCTCTGCTGGGTCGCTGAGAGGTTGTGTATTCCTAAAAATGAAAAAAAGGACATTACGAAATAGAGTTGCTGTACCATAAAGACGACTCATAATGAGGCAGATTTCGCGACAGGGCGAGTTGATGGTGTTTAGGGAACTGAAGCAATTGGAGGGGGCCACAAAGAGGCTTTTTGTTTCGGGGCGCGTCACCCTCCTCCCTCTTCTTACCCAAGTTTTCAATGGAGTAGTATCTCTGCTTGCTGTCCACTCGAACCGTCTCGGCGTAGGGACTTCCTACGCCATAGCCAATGATGTAACCACGGACCAGAATGCTGGGACTAAGGGGAGGAGTCCATGACATGATGATGCTGTTGGGAAGAGGCCTGACATGCAGAGAGCTGGGCTGGTCCGGAACCTGACTCTCTGTTAAAAAATAAAAACACAAGAACATATTGTCATCAGAAAAGGGGAAATGTTTTTGGTTCCTGTGTGTTCATTCCATGTCTGCTTTTTTTTTCTTTCTTTTTTTTTTTCCTGCTCATATATTCTTGTTGGCCTCGCCCTGCTCATTCTGTGTCAGTCAATTAAGTCCTTCCTGAAGTTATTAATGACCAGCTCAATGTGTATCTCATTAGTGTCTTTAGCCTGATTATATTTAACTCCCCTTCACCTATTTGGTGAGGGTTTTTTTCTTTTGGGGGGGGCAGTTAGTCGATTGTCAGGTGTTTCGAGCATTGATTACGTATACCACAGAAGTGATGTTGAATAAATATGTGCTATTCTTTGCTGTCCTAAAATCCAGCCTCCAGCTGCTACTGCTAGCAGATGCTAACACAGTTAGCTGAGTATTAAGCCCCAATAAACCTTCTCACTTTGTGTTCAAAGTCTCCATCAGGTCATGCAACGTTAGCATTTTTTTTTTTCGAGGAAGAAGCTCCCTTTCTTCATTGAGTAATAATCCATCGAAACTAGATAAATGGTTCCGCCCAACTCCATGCTAACACAGCTAACCTGCTGGTGTTTTTTTTCCCCCCTCAGGATTTTGCAGCTTATAGTTTTGTTCTTTTGATTCTGCTCGACCACAAGTGAAATAAGAACAAAACGGATGCTTCAGCCTAAATAAACAAGAAGCGCAACAGCAGCATTCTACCCAAAAGCTATTTTGTTTACATGGGGAGTCTGATGCTTTTTCTTTTTTGAAGAAAGCTCTTCGTACATCATTTATAAAAGTCATCAATTATGTAGAATTGGATTATATTTCTTCTGTCCTTTTCATTCATCCCCCTCCACTCTAAAAGTGAAGCTTCCATCTATTCATGTGTCCTGCCCTTTAAACGCGTTAAATATTTATGAGTATAGTGCAGGTATTTACATGTTGTTTCACAGATCACTGAACTCACACAAACACAAAGACACACGCATCGAGAAATGCACGCGGACATATTGGCTATGTGATTTCTCACCGTCCAAATCATTCTCGGGTGTCTCCGCCGTATACCACTCACTGGCTGGACCTGTTCCATTGGTGGTCATGGCTGCGACCTGGAAACTGTACTGACTGCCCTTATCAAGACCTCCACAATAGAAAACGAGAAAAGGATTTTGACTGCAAAGGTAAAAAAAAAGAAACCAACAACATCCTGATAAACTAATTGTAATGAAATCATATCCACATGCATTCAACATCGCACCGTCTCTGAGAGTCTCCGTGTACTTTTCGATGGCGGCCCTGCATTACATTGCACACGCACACGGATAAATGGCAAGCGAAGATGTCACTTAGACTCCCAAAGAAGAAGTAAAAAAAAAAAAAATCCCAGGTAATCAAAGTGAAATGCTTCAACAGGTTAAGTCTTCTGGAAATATCCACATGCATTCAACATCGCACCGTCTCTGAGAGTCTCCGTGTACTTTTCGATGGCGGCCCTGCATTACATTGCACACGCACACAGATAAATGGCAAGCGAAGATGTCACTTAGACCCCCAAAGAAGAAGTAAAAAAAAAAAAAATCCCAGGTAATCAAAGTGAAATGCTTCAACAGGTTAAGTCTTCTGGAACCTGTCAGGAAAATGCTGCCAAAAAACGGTGCAAGTATGAACAAACGACTACCACCTATGTATTTATTTATTTATTTTTAATTATGTATACCGTTTAGAAATCCTTTCACTAATGCACTCAACGTTGCATTTTATTGATCTCAGTCTTTTTCATCACGGCATCAGTGGTGGTTCTTGAGTCACGGAGGCTTTTAGCGAACCTTTAGCTAACAAAAGCGAGCAAGCCCGCAAGAGTAATAAACGTTATTTCTCTGCTGGGTCGCTGAGAGGTTGTGTATTCCTAAAAATGAAAAAAAGGACATTACGAAATAGAGTTGCTGTACCATAAAGACAACTAATAATGAGGCAGATATCGCGACAGGGCGAGTTGATGGTGTTTAGGGAACTGAAGCAATCGGAGGGGGCCACAAAGAGGCTTTTTGTTTCGGGGCGCGTCACCCTCCTCCCTCTTCTTACCCAAGTTTTCAATGGAGTAGTATCTCTGCTTGCTGTCCACTCGAACCGTCTCGGCGTAGGGACTTCCTACGCCATAGCCAATGATGTAACCACGGACCAGAATGCTGGGACTAAGGGGAGGAGTCCATGACATGATGATGCTGTTGGGAAGAGGCCTGACATGCAGAGAGCTGGGCTGATCCGGAACCTGACTCTCTGTTAAAAAATAAAAACACAAGAACATATTGTCATCAGAAAGGGGAAATTTTTTTGTTTCCTGGGTGTTCATTCCATGTCTGCTTTTTTTTTTTTTTTTTTTCCCTGCTCACATATTCTTGTTGGCCTCGCCCTGCTCATTCTGTGTCAGTCAATTAAGTCCTTCCTGAAGTTATTAATGACCAGCTCAATGTGTATCTCATTAGTGTCTTTAGCCTGATTATATTTAACTCCCCTTCACCTATTTGGTGAGGGTTTTTTTCTTTTGGGGGGGGCAGTTAGTCGATTGTCAGGTGTTTCGAGCATTGATTACGTATACCACAGAAGTGACGTTGAATAAATATGTGCTATTCTTTGCTGTCTTAAAATCCAGCCTCCAGCTGCTGCTACTACTAGCAGATGCTAACACAGTTAGCTGAGTATTAAGCCCCAATAAACCTTCTCACTTTGTGTTCAAAGTCTCCATCAGGTCATGCAACGTTAGCATTTCTTTTTTTAGAGGAAGAAGCTCCCTTTCTTCATTGAGTAATAATCCATCGAAACTAGATAAATGGTTCCGCCCAACACCATGCTAACACAGCTAACCTGCTGGGGTTTTTTTTCCCCCCTCAGGATTTTGCAGCTTATAGTTTTGTTCTTTTGATTCTGCTCGACCACAAGTGAAATAAGAACAAAACGGATGCTTCAGCCTAAATAAACAAGAAGCGCAATAGCAGCATTCTACCCAAAAGCTATTTTGTTTACATGGGGTGTCTGATGCTTTTTCTTTTTTGAAGAAAGCTCTTCGTACATCATTTATAAAAGTCATCAATTATGTAGAATTGGATTATATTTCTTCTGTCCTTTTCATTCATCCCCCTCCACTCTAAAAGTGAAGCTTCCATCTATTCATGTGTCCTGCCCTTTAAACGCGTTAAATATTTATGAGTATAGTGCAGGTATTTACATGTTGTTTCACAGATCACTGAACTCACACAAACACAAAGACACACGCATCGAGAAATGCACGCGGACATATTGGCTCCGTGATTTCTCACCGTCCAAATCATTCTCGGGTGTCTCCGCCGTATACCACTCACTGGCTGGACCTGTTCCATTGGTGGTCATGGCTGCGACCTGGAAACTGTACTGACTGCCCTTATCAAGACCTGGAGGGAGATGAAAATAAAATTATACAAACCGCGTACATTGTATTCATTTTCTGTGCATTTAATTTGAACAACAGATAACGCAAGACCTTGTTTATTCACATGGGTTTTTTCTTCTTTTCCTGTCAGAGGTCCACCAGTATTGAAAAAAAGAAAAAGAAAAAAAAAAAAAGGGACTTAGAGCGGATCCCTGATGCAGTCCCACCTTAAACTCCTCTGTCACAACTACAGTACATCTCACCACTGTTCTGCTCCCCTCACACGTGTCCTGTACTATTCTAACATACTTCTCTGCCACTCCAGACTTCCTCATGCAGTTCCACAGTTCACTCAGGGAAACCCATCAGAGACTTTCTCGAGATCTACAAAGGCACGATGTGGCTCCCAACCTTGGTTGTACTCCCCATTTTCAGTGCGTGATTTGAAGACTTTGTCAGGAGTGGGAAACACCTTTCCTCTATGAAAAATAATCCAGTCAATCTCATTTGTATCTGTCATTCTCTCCTGTTATTGACTGAGACAAGAAGAACCTTTGTTGCATGTGAATGAATTGTGCATAGATTGAAGATGAATAAAATTTGTGTGAATAAAGATTTAATCAAACGTTCTTGGTGTGATTACTGGTGATGATCACAAGACAAAGCGCGCGTGCGCGCACTGAGGCCGCCAACCTGACACTGGGAAATGATCAAGATAAAGAAGACAATCTCAGTAGAAAATAATGAAAAGGAAGCTCCGTTTCATTTAAATCACGCACAGCTACATTGTAAAAATAGCTGGTGGCAGTCTGAAAAACACACACAGACACACACATTGTATACATCTGTATGTGTAAAATATGCAAATGATTTCAAAATGGCTGAGGCTGATCATGGTTTTGTAATAAGCAGTTCCTCAGGATTCATCATTGTTTTAGAATCCCACTCGAAAGCTTAAAATGCTCATAAGACCTGCCAAACATGAAATTATTGTTTTCGGAGAAAACTCTCGCTAATGTAAAGCCGGCGGGACTTTTATTTACAAACGCAGACCACATGGTTGGAGTCTCACCTGTGCAAAGATACCACAGGTTGTTGGGTTCAATGGCTTCCTGGTCCCCACGGCGACCGGTCTTCCTATATTTGATCTTGTAAGCGCTGATGATGCCGTTGTGAGCGCCGCGTGGAGGCGGCTGCCATGACACTTTTATGCTCTGAAAAATGGCAAGAAACAACCGTGACTGGAGAACAATGAAATGATCGCGGGCGGCCGTGTTCCCAACGAGTGGATAGCAGACACTCGTAAAGCAAAATCCATTTCAACTTTCCATTCACTGCCTTGATGCGGCAAACAGAGGGTACAGTATAAATGGCGATTAAATAAATCCAATTTAAGGCAGTAGTAATCATCCGAGTTTCACTTCCCATGATTTGTGTGTTTATCTCTCGAGTCTGTGGACATTTTCTCTTTGTTTAGTCGTAGGTTGAGCGAATGCTAATTGCTTCATTTGCATGTTAACAACACACCTCGACCTACCCGGACAAATACACACAAAGACACGTGCGCGCACGCACACACAACAGATGTTTGCAAAGGCCCAAGTGTGCAATGCTGTGAGACAGCTGCTATCAGCCATCGCACACTCATTGGCTTCTGCACACTAATGAATGAAGACTAATGGATTACAAAATGTATTAATCAAAAAGATGATTCACCCTTTACTCTGTGCTTGTTTACGCACGCTTCTCCTTTATTCCAGTTTCTTTATAAGGTCACATTTCCCATTTTATTACAGCTACGCGGCTTCTACTTGGTGGAAGTGTGCGTAAAGCCCCCAATCGTCAACACAAGTTGGAGGAAATGTGCAGTGAATCTCCAAACTTTATTCAGGATGGTCAATTTCGACTTCTGTATATTCAAGTGTCACGGTGCCATGCAGTTTTGTTTGGAATGAACAAGTTAAAACAATTCGTGACTCCGCCCAAGACAAACTGATCCTATCGCGGAGACCCCTATCCAATGTTCCGCTTCTCATCTGGACCATTACAAGTGAGCCCCGTAAGGTGTGCCGAGCAAGGTTCTGGACAGGTTCCAGGATGTTGATGGGTCTGCTCAAGACCTTGGCAGAACCTCACCGCCTCCCTCGGGCACCTTCACTGGGTTGGTTCTATTAAAGTTCGAGGTCATTCTGCTCTCGAATCGCCATCGACATTTTTCATCATCACTCTTGCAAACTTCCATTAAAATGACGAGAAGAAAATGTAGCCGCCATGTTGAATGTTAAAATCCAAGAGAATGCGCCATCTGCCGTCATACAAAACACACACACACACACACACACACACACACACACACACACACACACACACACACACACACACTAAGTTAAACAGTTTGCCGCTATTTGGGATAGGAGCAAAATGAAACGGGCAGCCATGTACAAAATGCAACAATCCTTCTGAAATCTGTTGCCAAGATGCACTGACACGCGTTTTCGTTCCAGTATGAATTGTGGTCCAGTTTTGATGCTGTGGACAGCATCTTGAATGCACATTTTTGCCGGTGTCATTTAAAAAAAACAATCCCACATGGAGTGATGGTGTCTGTTTTTCCCCATCAGTCCAACCAGCAGTTTAAAAATTCAGCCGCCGTGCTCGTGACAGGGGCCACCGAGGAATTCATTAACATTTAGCGCGCACCTGTTCCATGTGCTTGTCCTCACCCTGCTAATTGATTACAGCAGAACTGATGATTATGGAGGGGAGGAGGGAGCAGTTGAGACGAGAGGATGTTGTTTGCCAAATACCTCCATATTGGGTCTTTTCCTCGGCTACCCCCCCCCCCACCCCCGTTTCTCAGGCCTGCCATCACTGGTGTGCTTCATTAACTAATTAGTCACTTTGACAGCACACAGTTGGTTGGGTGGTCTCCATGGAAACAATACAGAAGTTAAATACACGTTGGAACAAATCCGACAGAGGGACACGGTGGCAAACCATCCATGAAGGAGAATGGAGAGCCTCTTTATTTAGAGACCAGCGAGAAGGGGTTCACAGAAAACAGGAACATACCACAATGCGCCGTCTTTGGCTAAACCTGCATTATCTGATTGGGTTCGGCAAACAGAAACGCAATATTATTTAAAAAAAAATGAAGTATATACCCATCAGGGGTCCAGGCGAGGACGCCCCTTTCACAATCTCTTTCTGCAGTCTCTTTTCAACTTTAAGCAACAGCCAGATGACAAAACGCTAGCATTAAAGGAACCCCAGCTAAGTCCCTTTGCAAAGTTAGTCTTGATGCAGATGTTTTATTACCCTACATGCAAAATCCCTCCAATACACAACAGGAACCTTTGAAAAACTATTTCCAACACCTCTGCAGTCTCAAGCTGTACACTGAGATGAAAAAAAAAATCCACTATTCTGTCATTGACAAACAAAGCCCGGCATTCCCGAAGCACAGGCTTTGTCTCCTGATTCGCATATAAATGATCCAGGCCTTTAATATCTCCCCATGGCTATCTGACCTATTTAGTCTCAATTATACACTACTCATTAAAGATAAAGATGACTTTAAATGAAGAGCATTTACTGCCCCCCCAGCCCTTTTAGTTGCTCGCAACTCCCAATAGCAAGTGTCAACATGAAAACCCCACCATATGTTAACGACTTTGTTTTGTTGCTTCTCGCCTCTCCCGCTGATAAACGAGACAGAGGACTCGATTAAATAACGACACATTTTAATGGGAAAACAAAAAGCCCAAAATCGACCGACCTCCCTCGCTCAGCCAAACTTGATTTACAGAGCGCCTCCCATGCATAAAAGCGCCTGTCCACAAGGACGCAAAAGTAGACAGGCACGCTTACTCATGGTCGCGAAGTACAAGTTGGATTTTTTTTTTTTTGTTGGATTTTTTTTTTTTTTTTGTTGCTCTTTTTGCACTTGTCGTTAGATGCCAAACTGCGTTGGGTCGTGTCAGTATGTGTACTCTTTGCGATGACAGTCATGTTGAACACAAGCAAACCTGCTCCAGAAAAAAAAAAAAAAATGGGCGCTAGATTTGAAGGAAACATCTCGATTCTAAAAACAACCAAACTTTAAACAGGAGGTGGAATTAATTCGCCTTGGGTTTGCACTCTCTTTCAGTATGCAGACTGGCACTGAGAATGGTATACAAAACACATCCACCCAACTGCGTGCTTTACAGCACACTTTCACACACACAAGCACACACACCGTCAGGTGAATAAACACTCAGAATTCAATCTGTGATTGTTTGTTCACGGCCGCCGGGCGAAAGCTGCAATCGCACCAAGTGCGCGTGTGTGTGTGTCTGTGTGGGCGTGCGCGCGTTTGCGAGTGCGCGCCTCCGGACAGCAAATGGATGGTGATCACATGCTTGGTGGACATTTTGCAGCGCCATTCTGCATTCATGAGGTTAGCCGTAAAGATGCATGTTTTATGAGTTGTGCCTTTTTCAAAGATCTACTTTGTACGTTACAGTATCTGCCCGTGTGCGTGGTGAGGATGATGCAACAAGGACATTATTTTCATAAAACCAAGGCAGCGTCTTGACGCAGAGGAGAACGTGCGCGCACTTGAATAACAAATGCATATGCTTATGTTGTCCACCATTTCCATGTGTCAATATTAACATTACGTCCAACTTATTCGATGGTTTTACTGACCCGATTATAACTTGAAATGTCACCGCGCTGTAGGCCGAGACTCGGAGCGGGAGGGAGATTTTTCAAACACGGGGGTCGTGTTTTCTTTTTCAGGTGGATGGACGAGGAGCCCAATTTTTAAAATGCGAATGATTCCGAGAGAATCGGAAGGTTCGTCTCCGTTTCCGAGACTCAATGGCGAAACCCGACATACCGCCAGTCATGCTTGAGGCATTTTCACACCGCAATGGATTTTCTTGGCGTTCGCCGCGGTGCAGCACGCAACCCCTCCGTGAAAGCTTGCTCCTATTTGGAATTACTGACCAAAGCCTACCGGGAAGCAACAAGGCGGCTTTTGCAAAAAGTAGACCGCGCCTCGGCAACATGCGTTTGTCATTGAAAGCCTTGCATCCCATAATCAGCGCATCCCACACTAATGGTACCACGGAAGAATCTTGAAGAGTTCAAGCTCTTCGTGAGCTTCAATTCCACAAAGAGGTGTATTTCACCACATCTCAGTATGTCATTTCCCTTTGGTCCCGCACCTCGGGGACACCGCATTTATTATGACTTCTTCCATTTTCCCAAAGCCCTTTTTCAGTCCAAGGCCGACAAAACAGTCTTCAAAATCACATTTTTCCATTCAAGGCCAAGTCGCGGCACTCTGCGGCGAGGCATTCTGTCCTCGCGCTCGTATCACAGCTCCATTAAATATTCGTCTTTTATTCACCTACAATCCCGTACATGTTGATGAAGTGTGGGAGGAATCCACGGTAGCCATAAGGCGACATGAGCGCAGGGGAAACACAAAAGTGGGGCAGTCGCGTTAACCACCGCGCTGCCCTGCGTGTTCGACATTCAACTGCTCCACCGAGCATGACAACCGGTTAATCATTCTTCGGCAATGCATAACAGCCTATTAATAATTGCTCGTGCAGTGCCATCTATTACAACGTACCTCGAGGGACATAACGAATCCGTACGTTATCACGGTCGTTCGTTGTAACCGTTGCCAATAAAATGGCCGCCAACGACGGAGTAGAATACAGGAGGAACGGTTAGAGACGTAAAAGCATGTAATACGTGTATATGGAGAAAACATTTATTCATATTGCCATCCTCCAGTTTTTCCGTTTTTTTTTTTTAAATCCTGTTCATCAAAAAAGAACGATAGCTCAAGATTTGTGGACTGTTGTTTGGGAGAGGCCCATCGTGAAAAGGGAACGTAAAAGTCATTTCAGTGGAATGATTTACCGTTCCATTAGTTACGACTTGAATTGGTCCGAGTCTCTCCGAGAGTCAACGGGGAACCGATTATTAATATTTTGCTTTGGTCATAAAAGTTGAGCTGAAGCGATCCATTCACGGCGTCGTGGATGTTTTCACAATCCCATCCTGATCCCGACAATCAAAAAGTCCAGCGAAATAAAAATGTCTGAACTCCCAACAGAATTCAAAAGGAAAGGCCCATGGAGGGTCGTGTTCACCCAAGCATGCAACAACTGCAGCCGCTCCGACAGTAACGCTCCACCAAGCAGAGAGGGAATTTCTGGAAATGCCAGATTTGAAATTGATTTCCGAAAAGCTGCTTTGATTGGGCCACCTCCTAAACAGCAGGGGGGATTCAAAGTTTGCTAACAACTGACTGAGACGGACGGATAAGTTCCAAGAGTCCGACCATCTTTGCTGCATTTTTCTCTTATTGGGGCTTGAATCCCATCAAATATTCCCTGTTTAGTTGAGACACGGAATATGGGCGGCGAAACATTAATACGGGATGCATCCGATTTTAATTCATGTCAGCCGTGTCCTGATTAGACACGGTGAGCATTTCTGTGCGGAGTTTACATGTGTTGGTTCTCAATAGTCCCCCCTCGCTGTAGCTCAGGTTCCTTCAAGCAACACAAACTGCATTTGTATTTTACAGTACATGGTGATGTTTGTTTTGTTTTGTTTTGCTATTTCATTCTCAAAAATTGAGACCAAAAGACGTGATCTGTTTTCGGCCCGCACTCTTGAGAAAGTGCTCCATTAGTGCCTTTTGTGTACTTGTTTAGTTATGTGGCTTCCATTGGTGAGTCACGCACCGTTTCACTGGTGTAAGAGATTTTTGGTACTTCCAGAAAATGATTGTCATTTTTTTTGAAAATGTAAGCTCAGCCTCTCACATTAGGTTGAGGTAAGATCGGTCCCAGCCTCCGTATTGCATAAACCTTTGCTGGGTTGCTGGTTGTTATTTTTAGGAATGAACGCTGTGCACTTTATACACTTGAGTCCATAATACAGTCCCCTTCGAATGTAGTGGAACAGCGAGGTCAATTTCTTGGTTTTCGCTGTATACTGAAGACGTTAGGCTTTTCAAGCAAAAGATGAATATCACTCAAATATCTAGCTTTAATTTAACGCTATTGACCAGTGGTGGGCCCAACAGTCGTCATAAGTCCATCATTCTTTCAGGCCGGCCCGGTCTGTCACTCTGTTATTTGAAGCTTGCCTCCGTCATTGCTAAATGGCAGTTCATCACCACCAGTAATTTATTTGTTTAGCACGTGCATGCGCACGCCAATACCCCGTGGCATTAGGGCAGTAAATGCTGTATCGAAATCCTGCACTGCAGACACACTAATAAATCCATAAAAATGACCAAAACAATGTTAACTTCATTAAATGCGTTTTGACTCCACATTGGCAGTTTCGCGATTCTGTACCAATGTTCCAACGTGTGGAGCAAAACATGAGTTGTCAAAGGTCGTTTTGGGTTAGTGACGGTGACTGCGTTTAGTCTGTCAGTGGTTCAAAGTTTTGGCCATTCGTCGGTCCACCAGCCAAACGGGAGCGCGTTCACCCCCAGATGTTTACTCGCAGGCAAAATGCATAGGAAATCGAATATGCTCATCTCCATCTATTTTTCCAGAGCTCAAGTGCCACTTGAGGATTCGGCTGAACCTACTGTGCATCTACTACGACCTGCTGGAAAAGGGGCTCTGCACTCGGAAGCACTTCAGCATTTCATTACTTTGGATGTGTCTGACATTGTTCTGTCAACACGATGGCAACATCTGCTAAGCCTCCAGACAAACACAGACACAATTTGGTGCACGTCGTGTGCATGTACGTTATTAAGGTGGGGACAGGTGTGCAAATCCCCTTTTCATTTCGGTTCCCATTTCAAAAGCTGATCACAGCCACGTCGGCCACATGCATGAGCAGAGATGCTTGCGACTCAAATACAGCCAGGCCAGCTGGGACACTCTTGACTGAAAGAAGAGGTGGCCCCTGACCATTCTAGGAAAGCACCGGCGCTCTGAATATGATTTATGGAAACACAATCAGGAAAAAAAAAAAAAGTTCTTACATTTCATCTGAAAATGAATATATAAAGAAATCAATCAAAACAAATGAGAAGACATGTTACGCAGCAATAGTGGACAAGAAGCTACGGTTTGAATTAGCATGACTTAAGCCAAACAATAGTCTCGTTTTCGGTTGTCTGTACTCAGCCTTTGGGAAAGAAAAAGCCCGCTCCCTGTTTCTCGACATCAAACTGGAGCTCTGACATCATGCATCCATCAGCCCTTTGAGCAGGGAAATATCAATCACATGCAGGAAAGTAAGCAGACGGAAACTAAATGAGGTCAGCTCTCCACAGACCGTCTGAACCTCCTCTTCATGGACATGAATTATGAGCCGTCCACATTATATTTGGAATCATTTTTCGTACTCGCCGATGCTGCCGTGCACGGATTAAATATAACATTGTCAGAAAAAACAAAGAGAGTCAAAAAGGCATAAATGCTCAAGAATTACAGTCAGGCTCTTGAGGGTAGTGCTCCTCCAGAAGAAAATTTGAAAGATTTCATATTCGAAAGCCTCCGTTTGCTGCATTTTGAGAACGTGTTGAATAAATGAAGCTGGTTCACACAAGAGGGAAACACTTGACTGATGGCAATGTCACCCGCGTACACGTCAGAATGGAAATAATCAATCACAGATGGCGAGATCAGAGTAATCGTTTGTGTTGTTTACATCAAACTCCATTAAAAGTTCATGTCGGCTCAAAGTCTCTGTCAACACGCATACCAAATTGCGTCTGACATATGGGGAGAAGTATGATTGTGGCGAGTGTATGAAAGCACAAATGATCATGTTTAGCACACAAAATTATTTGTTCACAAAATGTTTCCATGATTGTTCTGAATTCCCACGCCAGAGGTACAAAAACCTCGATTTTATGGCTTCCGCATGTGTCCATGTGGAACTTGAAGAAACAATGGGAAAGAACACATACTAGCAACATATTAAAAAAAAAAAAAAAAAATGCATGTGGAACTTGAAAAAACAATGGGAAAGAACACATACTAGCAACATATTTAAAAATAAAACACTTTTTGAAATTGAAATGTTCATCTTACCCTGGAAAGCACGACCTCTAAGGTGATGTTCTGGGGAGGAGCACCGGGAACTGCATAGAAAAGAAAAAAAAAAAAAAAATACATGTGGTGAAAGGTTTCGTGAAAACACGTGACAACAAGCGTTACCTCCTCATTAAAAATAAGCCAGTACCGGAGTCCAAAAAGTTCTGACCACATCTATGAAGGCGCATTCTTCACGGTGGCGATCCGTACCCGTTCGAGGCAGGCTTAGTCGTGCTCTCGGACGCGCGACGCAAAGTCGAGCAGTTCGCTGGAAGCCGCAAACTCTGGAAGCCTCGGAGGAGTGACGTTTTACAACTGCGCACTCGCGCGGTGCAAGCTGACATCCATTTCACGATGACTGAGATCTTTTACGAAATGTCAAATCGTACTCGGCGACTGTTTTATTCGTTTATTTATTTATTTCACTCGGAGCCACGTTAAAAGCCTCAACGCTGACAGTCGAAAACTCTCAAGTGACGTCACGCGTTTGTATCACCCCGGGGCAAATTCAACACGGAACAAATAGAATCTCTTCAAAAATGCAAAAGGGTGGCAATGCGAGGAGCTCTCACGTTCATTGCGATTCCAAAGACATATCATGACAAGTCCCTCGTAGCAGCCAGCTGCAGCAGCGCGTCGCTGAAAAACGCCTTTCTCAGGTATTCTCCTTGTGAGCGCGTACGTCTCTCGTGTCGGGGCCTTGTGTAAGAATCCGGCGCGGCGACGCGCTCCGAGGTTATGCTGCTGCTGCGACCTCCCGCATACGAGTCGGGTTAAAGGGTTGAACTGAGTCAAGCAGGTAGCACAGTAAGATGAAATCTCATTGCGGGACACCTTTCAGCGGAATAGCGGCCAGCTACTTAGACTAATGGGTCCATCATCCCCGTTGCAATGTTGCCGGCCTCTAATGTCAGAGGCTGCGAGTCGGAGTCCAATTATGAGTCCACTGCGGTGAGGCGCTGCGCGGCAACACCGCTGCTGTGACTAGAATGGCAATGAGTGGGTGTGGAGCGATGCTGAGCCAAGTTTATTTCCTGGACACCACTGACACAACCGAGATGAGAATGAGTAATTGATTTTGGTCATTTATATAGAAATTCGGTAGGAGGTCCTCGAAAATGAGATCACGTACATGAAAGGGTTTCTCCGACTAAGAACTTACTTATATGCGGTGTTTGGATGTTTTCCCCGCACTTGCATGAGTCTTCTCTGGATACAAGGGGCGTCCGCTACATGTTACTGAGCTAGCAGGCAATTTGGGATCTTCGTAAAAGATGGCAATCTTAGTTTGTCACGCGCGACGGGCCCTTCGCTGCCACGACTTGGGAGGTAAATTAGGTCTGAAGACACTCTCGGCTGGCTCGGAAGCGCTTTGTGATCCCAAAGTCTGGGTCTCTCCGCTGCCCCCGCGACCTCTTCATAAGCAGACGAAGATGGATGAACGCTTTGAATGAACACTGTCTTACCAACCTAGCTGATTAACTGTCCACAGCTTTATCTATTGATTCAGCTGCTCATGGCATGCGTGCGCGTGTACAAGTGTGTGCTTGAGTGTGAGGGAGAGTAATTAGGCCACAAGTCATGGTTATCGCAGAGCCACAGATGGGGAGATGCACAATACAAGCGCTCAGTATCTGCGCTCACTTAGTCTCAGATCATTGTGTCGTGCCGCTGCAGCTGGACAGATGACTCCATTATCTTTCGTCGTCCACGCATGCAAGGTTATTTACGACAACGTTACCTTATGGGTACCACTTAGGTCTACAAATTTATGTCCGGGTAAATATTCTCCTAGTAGCAAATTACAAAAGGCTGAAGCACGATATCATTTTACTTGAATTTACGGCAAAACGTGAGCGCCTTACACGACACAATATTATTCCAGTTAATTGCGAAGCAAGGACAAAAACAATATCATTAAAATTGATATAACATATTTTAGGGAAAGCGGCCCGGCGGGCGAGTGGGTAGCGCGTCGACCTCACAGTGCAGAGGTCGTGGAGTTTGCATGTTCTCCCCGGGCCCGCGTGTAACATATTTTACGGAAAGCGGCCCGGTGGGCGAGTGGTTAGCGCTTCGACCTCACAGTGCAGAGGTCGTGGGTTTGATCCCGGCTTTGATCCCACATTCCAAAAACATGCGTGGCAGGCTGATGGAACACTCTAAATCGTCCCGAGGTGACAATACAAGCGCTCAGTATCTGCGCTCACTTAGTCTCAGATCATTGTGTCGTGCCGCTGCAGCTGGACAGATGACTCCATTATCTTTCGCCGTCTACGCATGCAAGGTTATTGACGACAACGTTACCTTATGGGCACCACTTAGGTCTACAAATTTATGTCCGGGTAAATATTCTCCTCAGAGCAATTACAAAAGACTGAAGCACGATATCATTTTACTTGAATTTACGGCAAAACGTGAGCGCTTTACACAACACAATATTATTCCAGTTAATTGCGAAGCAAGGACAAAAACAATATCATTAAAATTGATGTAACATATTTTACGGAAAGCGGCCCGGTGGGCGAGTGGTTAGCGCTTCGACCTCACAGTGCAGAGGTCGTGGGTTTGATCCCGGCTTTGATCCCACATTCCAAAAACATGCGTGGCAGGCTGATGGAACACTCTAAATCGTCCCGAGGTGTGGGTGTGAGCGCGGATGGTTGTTCGTCTGTGTGTGCCCCGCGATTGGACGGCAACCGGTTCAGGGTGTCCCCCGCCTACTGCCCGAAGACGGCTGGGATAGGCTCCGGCACCCCCCTGCGACCCTCACGAGGATAAGCGGATCGGAAAATGGATGGATGGATATTTTACGGACAATTGGGCGTATTATTAGAACCAATTACAATGAACGGGCTATTGAAAAAATAAATACTACAAATCTGGCATAAAGCGCGCTAGATTAAATGGCAGATTATTTTTGTGAAGCATTGTAAAACAGTTTATTCTAACGGTACAGTATGTTTATTTGATAGGTTTAGCGCTATTTAAATAGTCAAAAGACGCCGGACTTAAAATCCCAGTTGTCAAAAATAATGCAAGGACATATTATTTGCATATAAAGAGGAGAACAGAAGTGTGCACGTGTGCGTTTGTGTGTGAACTTGATGAGAGTGTCACACTGAGAGGCGATTAATTAAAAATCCCGGGTCCCCGGTGAAACGACTGACAGCAGAAGAGCGCAAGATTCAAGTTGGCGCACATGCACGCGCGAATGCACACGCACTCGGCAAATAACCCATCAAGCGTGAGGCTTCATATGAAGATGCCTCGAACCGATAGCGAAAGCTGAACCCGGGCTGAGAGCTTTCAATGGCAGAAATTCGAAAACTTGAAATTCAACATGGATTGCTTAGTTCAAAGATTTTAATGAAAAATGCAGTCAATCAACAAGAATAGATTAAAAAAAAAAAAAAGAGGTAAAAGACTCACCATCAGATTGGGTGGTGATGATGATATTCTCTGAGGGAGTGCCAGGTCCAAAGCGGTTGATAGCCAAAACGGAAACTGTGTACTGTGTGAATTTATTGAGTCCCTCCATCTTGTAGTTCAGCCCGTTGACATCGATGCTCTGAACACAACGCATACGAGGAATTAGACTTGGTGGATTTAGCATAAAAGGGCCCGTTTTTGAAAGATGAAAAAAAATATGTCTCTTGGGCTGGCAATGACAATAAATGAGTTGACGAGCGACAGAATTGATAACTTCCTGCAGTGATTCGAACAACCAGCGTCAGACGGGAGAGGGGCGTGATTGAATGGACGGCCGTGCTGTTGACGGATACGAGTCGGAAAAAACGAAAGAGGAATTTTGTGGATGCAAAAAGCATGTGATTTCAGAAGGGAGGAGCGTGCATTGGGGAAGGCGCTGACCTGGTCCTTGCTTGAGAGGCTCTCTGTCCAGAGAATTCTGTAGCCCAAGATTGGTCCATTTGGAGCACTGGGGGGGTCCCAATTTACCTGGATGGAGGTTGGTGACAGAGCTTCGGCCCGTAGCGAGTCTATCCTACTGGGTACCTGGACTGTAGAAGCAAAACAAACCGAAAGAGGGACACAGCTTTGATTGATATGCAGCACATGTTACGTTTGCGTGGGTGCGCCACATTCAGACAAGGTTGTTGCAAAACATAAAAACGCTTCAAGAAGAATTTTTAATCCATTCAAATGCAGTGGAATCTCGACTGAAGGCATGTTTGAAGTTACGGCCCCATTTTTTTTTCCCCATACACAATTACCAAAGAGCCCGTCTGGAGTTCTGATTGACAAGTCAAAATGTTGGAAGTCTGTGTATTATATGGACAGCATTTATTGTATTGAGAGTTCAGTGAACCAAAACAAAATGGCTATTTTTCTCTTACGGTCTGGTTTGGTGGTGATCCTCAAGGGGGCGGAGCTTTCTCCTGGTCCAACGTCATTGTAAGCAATGACTCGGAAGCTATAACCCTCCTCTGGCTTCAGGTTGGAAACCATCAGCTCCAATGACTCGGGCTCCGACACGTTGACCGACCTCTCCCTGTAGCAGAAAACAAAGATCATTTGGTGATCAGACGTATCAAGATTCAAATTCTTTTGTCAAATAAGATGTTTCCTAATCTTTGCATTTAGGGCTGAGGTAGGTGGCCTGGACTGCCTTTTAGCCTGTTGAAGATCCCATAAAAAAAAAAAAAAACCGACTGGTTGTCCTCACTTTCATATGGAACCAAGTGAGGAGCCACTTCTGTAGCCCCCTTGCAAGGTGAAGCACGGGCCCACTTTCTCAGAGCAAGAGCCAGTGAAATTCATTTTTGTGTGGCTCCTTTCACACACCGGCTCTGCGGCGTCCAGAAAGGAGCATCGCAGCTTCCCCGGCGTGACGTTTGTGGCTCCTGCCTCGGGGATGGCAGTTTTGGCCAGCCGCCAACTGGCTCCAGACTCCGCAGAGTGCTGACGAGCGGTTGACTCGGAGGGGCAGCCAAAAGAATGAACGTCAGCTCGGAGTGACGTGTGGTGCGGCATTGTTTGGGATGAATGGAAAAGCGGCAAGAGTATGCCCAGTTCATGAAAGTTTCAAAGGAGGGGTGTGTGCACCACTCGTGCTTCCAATTACACCTCGGGACAATTTCGAGAGTTCCATTAGCCTGCCATGCATGCAACGATTTATTTGAAATCTGATTCATAAGTTGAATGGAAAAAAAGAAATCAAACGATTCATCGATTCCTGAAGAAAAATGGGGAGCTGTCGCTCTGAAATTGAAAATGTTACGCCGAATCCACGCGATCGGTATGGGTATCGGCCAATCACATTCATGGATGATCGGTATCGGCATCTTAAAACCCGGATTGGAACATCGCAAAATAAAATAGGATTTCCAATTTGCGTACACAAAATATGTGCGCTTATATCTACGTATATAAAAAGCAAGAACGCTGAAATGATCATCCAGTTTCTTCTCTCACGACATCTTTAGCATGTGCGATATGTTCAACATATTCCTCCTCCCCTCGCTCGGAAGATGTGAACCATCTGTGCGGGTTACAGGCCGTTAGCTTCCCATTATTCCGTTCCTTCTCGCAAGCCACCTGCCACGTAGCCGTTGCTGTGTGAGTCATTGTTCCTTGTTTTCCGAAGTGAACGTTTAAACCCCGCGAGTCCATTGAAGGTAAGTCAGTGTCTGCTGTTGGTCTTCATCACTGCTCGTACAGTAAATGCACCATGAGATACATCGTGCAATTACAAAGTTTTTGTTTTTCTGAAGGGGTGGTGCGATCACGGTAAGGCAAACGCGTTTGTGTTTTTTCAAGCTCTAGATCAGAGGTACTCAAATTGAAAAAAAAAAAACACTCCACGGCCACAAAGGTTGTTTTCAATGAGCCAAAAGTGCATTTCTTGAGCTTGGTCAGGTCACAAGAAAACAATGTTGTGACTTTCAAAACAATGTCTTCTATTTCTTTGCCTTAAAATGAGAACATTTTCTTTTTGACAAATTAGAGTGAAATAGAACAAAACACAAATGATCCGTCATGAATCCAAAGCAAACACATCAAGAGGGGAATAGGGAACTCTTGTCTTTTTCAATCCTGCTCGCCGCTTGATTTCAGTGCATTTGTTGTTACTTCCCTCTGAAAATCAAGGAAGTGACCTGTCGGAATTCCTTTGCGTTTTCTCACGATGCCCTTTTAAAAACGGACATCTTCATGACATCTTTAGTCTCCTGGCATGCTAAACACAACGGCCTTGTGGCAGCTGGAGGGAGAACGAATGGATTTTTTTTTTTTCCCACGCCATTCTTCTTTGAATCGCAGATTCTTCTCTGTCCGCCGTTCTTTCGGCAGCGAGCATAAAACACTTTGCTGTTCTGCAATCGAGGCTCCTACAGCTGGCAAAGTGTTCAACAATACGCTAAGTGTTCCAAGGATCAACGTGAAAAAACTGCACTGTGGCAGCAACGAACTCAAGTGACGGGCTCTCCTTATAGACTTGGCACATACTGTATTGCTGATCAACCAAAAGACATAAAACATGTCGTTTCCCCCCACGGCCGCCTCATGACCAGCCGCGGCTCAGCACTGCGTCGTTGCACGGACACCACGAATTGGGTCGCTGAACGACGCATTGCGCTATGCTAAGTGCAGCCAGACTGCAAAAGAGGCTCCAACAGTTCAGGGACCACAAAGAGGCGGCCAGCGGCCATCGGCTCAAATGATTACTGCGCACAAATTTGAACACGCGGAGGAATTACAAGAGTTGGGAATGCTTCTCTACTAGCAGTTCATCTCTGCTGGTTGAACGCTTTGACCGACCTTCTCATGACTGCTGAAAAGGTGTGAAGGAAAAGAGAGACACGTGAAGGATTCCGACGGGAGAGACAGCTTTTTCGTTTCGGCAGCAAAACTTTGGAAAACCTCGTGAAATTTTTTTGGTATTAGATTTTAAATCACCCTCAGAAAGTATTGATTGGAGCCGTCCAAAGATACAGATACATGCTATTTTCAATACATGTTTATTTTTAATAAATATAACTTTTTGGGGAAATAGTTCCCCCTCTTTTTTTGATCTGTTCTTATGTATTTATGGATTTCATTTTAAATAACCAGAGCATTTTCTTCTCTCTCACAGACTCTCCCCATCACTGCCCTCTTCATTCATGCAAGTTATTAGGACTGACAAAAGCATGTGTATCCTCTGCCAGGTTTTGACGACTGACAAAACCTGTTCGTTTTTTTTTTTGGTTTTTTTTGGTAAGTCTTTAACGACTGACATGTTTTGCGCCGTTTCATGGTGAAAACTCAAAGGCTCTTGAGGCCACCCTAACACTCAGATTCCTAAAATGCTGCAGGCTGCTCGATCCCCTCAGGTAACAAAGCTTAAAAGCCTGGATGTGAAAGCATTCAGCCGGAGCTCCAACTGTCAGAGGTTACCATTTAACATCGGCGGGGGACTTGCCAATGTCACCCGGAGGGTTTTCGCTAAACGTTTGGAGCCGCTGTGTGCGGCAGAGCCGCGATGAAGGGATATAAGTACCGTCTCGGACAAAACCGTTAGTGTACAACACTTACACCATCCGTCCATATGTGTCGGTTTGAAAATGAAAGGTGAAGAATAGGGTCGGCGCCAACGCCCCATCCTTGGATCGTTCAGTGTATCGCACACAAAGTTTGCACAGCCGTGCTTAAATCACTGCCCAGCAACTCGAAACCGGGAAGGTGTAACCGGCGATGCTAAAACTTTGATTACCTTTTCATTTGCCGTCCGCATTTTCTTAGCGCCCAATTAATTGAAGCCGTTAAGTTCTCCTCATGGATCGCAGCTCGAGCACAAGCCTCTCTTTATTGCTCTTTGTGAACAGAGACGGTGGAAAGTCGGCCTTGAAATGGGCCCCGGGGTGAAATCATCTGAGCGCAGTATTGATAGCTGTGCCCTTGGCAAATTAAGACAACAGATTTAGTTTCATCTAGGGCAACATAAGCATGATGTTGTAGTGCTCTTTACATCACAGGCAAAGTAATGGTGCGAGAGCGACAATTCTGTGCCGAGACTAGATGGGCACAGCTTTGGAGGATTAGACGTCCTTTTCATTCCATTTACTGGGAGTGAAAATGGAAAATTTGCAAGCCCAAATGGCTTGATGTCAGTCAGAGGTTACTCATGATGGGGCCTGGTTCACAATTTGTTCATTCTGTGGCGGAGGGGTCATGGCTATGTGCGGGCCAATCAAGTTGTTCCACGCCAAACTCATCCCATCGTGCCTTAATGGAGGTTGCTTTGCGCACTGAGTCACAGGCATGCTAGAAAAATAAAAATGCAAACAGTGGGAAGTTGGGCAAATGTTCAATATGGACGTGCATTTTTTTTTCATATGTAAACAATCAAACAAGTGTTAATTTCATCACATTCAATTCAGAAATGTGTATTGGCCAGCCTCTTCGTGACCCGAGACAGCACCGGCGCTAATATTAGCCGCTGGATTTTTTGGGACTATTGGGAACAATCAGCATTCCAGCCGTACCATATTGGCATTCGGCGGTCTCTGTAACGTCTATTACGGACAATCCGCATCATTTGCCAGCTCTCCTAACACAGATTTAGACAGATTTGTGAATATTTCGGAGAAATGGGCCTTTTTGGTGCACGTAAAATGTTCAGGAAAGACAAATAATTTCATATTTTTGTTCCGTGTATATATCGACGATGCGTTTATGGGATACATACAAAAGACCTGGCCGGGAGATACAGATGGAGAACCACAGACAAACGGAATCAAGACAAATCAAGTAGGGTTTACCTTTCAATGCCATCTTGGGAGTAATAAACACCATAAGTCTGTATAGATCCTCCGGTGTCCTGCGGGGGCCGCCAGCTGAGTCGGACAAACCGGCTGGACACTAGGACAGGGACCAGGTCGCGGGGGGCAGAGGGGAGGGCAACGCCTGGGCTGGGGGACACTGGTGGGGGATCAGAGGAGGAGGAGTAAGTCAAAGGGGTGCCGGAAGGAGCAGGCGGAGCAGGAGGCGGGCGGGGAGGAGGAGGTGTGTGGACAGGTCGAGACTGAGTGGGGGTGGCTTCTGTCAACGGTTCGTCCGGGGTTGAGGGGGGGACGAGATGCGGAGAGGGAGGAGGGAGAGGACCACAGGCGGGAAATGGAGGAGAGGAGGCAGCAAGGAGGTGGCGAGGCAAAGCAAACGCAAAAGGACAAAATAATGGATGAGAGGAACAAATCAGGAACATAAAAGACAAGAAGGAAGAAAAAGGAGGAAGAAGAAGAATGGTAAAGAAGATCCCAGACAAGAAAAAATAGTGGCAGAGATTCTTGCATATACACACACACACACACACACACACACACACACACACACACACACACACAGTAGCTAATTCGAAGATATTCAACATTTTCAAGTCAAAATACACAGAAAACAAATTCATCCTAGAAGATTTGTCAGTTAAGGGGGGGGGCATCTCATTTCCTTTCGATGCCTAAAACATAAATCAACTCAAATAGGCAAAAATGGCACGACAAAAATCAAGGCTGGTTTTTCATTGCCTATCTTAAACATCCAAATCCATTTCATTCCATTCATTATCACCCTTGTCTGATGATGCGGTGCTCACATTTAGCATGCGCACATGCTGCGAAATGAATGCAACAAAGTACACACTGGGGGAAAAAAAAAAAAACTACACAAGTGACAACGATGAATAGCATCTTTTGATGCGAGGCTTGCAATTCCCTTCAGCTATACATTACGGCTGCATGATATTGGAAGAAAAAAAAACGTGATATGCTTGTTGAATATAGCGATATCAATATTATTGCAATATTTGACGCGGACTGAAAGAAATTACATTTGTACTAATTTTTAATTTACCAATAGAAGTCTCTCTCCCTCTGTCTCTCTTTTTAAATGGTGATGATGTTTTTTTCCACATGTGCCCTTTGATACGCCGGAGACCAGACTCTGCTTCATATTCAACGCCAAGTGGGATAGTCTCCAGCTTTCCTGTGACCCCAATGAGGATACGCGGTACCGAAAATGGATGGACAATTGTTTGGAGGGGGGTGGGTGGGAACACAGGCGCAAACCAAATGAAGCATTTCAAGATAAAACTGACATTAAACATCCCAGGGACTGCGAATCTCTTCTGCATCATTAACTGATTGAAATCCAATTGGCTCCCAGGATCAAAGTACGTGTTGCTTAATTCCATCGGGCCGTGACACTTCAAAGCACACGCGCAAGGATGAGGAGACCCAGACGGTAAAAGAAGCAAAAGTAAGAAAATGTCATGAAAGTCAATGAAGGTGGTGAAGGTGATTGGGCGTCGGTAAAAAAGACAATTTAATTTCGAAATAGCTTGATAACAGGACACAACAACAACAACAAAAAAAAAAAAAAGACGGTAGAGAGCGCGTTGTGACGAGTGAGAACGGGCGTTAACAAAAATCCCCCCGTCACTATGAGAAGAGATGGCGGTGTGTGAGGGGTGCATTTGTTCCTGCTCGCCAGAAAGCAAAGGAGGCTCTGAGTAGTGTCTCGGCCAGGAATGGATGAGTCAGCAAAATAACAGTCGACAGAAGAAGAGCAGGAGAAAAGTCTCAATGAAGGTTAACGCAACACTGCAGTCTGTCTGAATACAAATCAGATGGACTCACCGCGCACACGCGCACAAATAAACTTGCGTTTTCGCATCAATATGTTGCTTTTGTACAAGCTACTCTGCATTTATATTGTTTCTGCTGCCCCTGCGTTCTTTTGGGAACTCTGGTTTCCACTGCCAAAAAGTGTGACATTGTTTCCATTTATTTGTCATTTAAGAAAAACAATCAAGCAGCGAACTGATGCAACTTTAAAAAGAATGAAAAAAAAAAATA